CTCTCTCTCTCGGACTATAAGTCAAGTGGTTAAGAACATAATCTTATTTTACTCAACAGCTGAATAACTTCTCATATCATTGTATGATATCGTGTCGTATATGAAACAGGTGAATGATGCAACTGTGTTGATGAAAGAGATAAATTAACGCTAGAATTCACCACCTACTGATCAATTATTCTTTAATATTTAATATCCTTTTTTGCATCAGTTGTTGTTTGTATGATTATAAGAATTACGTAAAAGGAAGAACAATGTGTACGAATTACATCCTCATATTTATTACTTTTTATAAGCATATAAGAATTAGTTATTTAATTATTTTATATGAAGTCTTTTTTTTGTTTGAAAAAAAAGAAGAAGAAGTAAACATTGGTCACAGTTATATTTTTGAAAAGGAGAACCGAAGAGACATGTCACTTGATTGTTCTCTATTACGTCTATACTAATCTATTTTGTATGAATACTCTTCTTATTCTCATTATGATCGGTACCATATTGTATATATGTATAAGAACGAGATGTAATCGTAGAACATATACTTATTTAAATAGTACATGAGAGATGATCGTGTTCGATGAGCACATTTTTTTAGATAGGATCGACATGGCATTGCTTTTGCGTGTTCAAAACTTTTATTTGATTGACACGCGTGCCATACAAAATTATGAAAGAGAAGCACGTAGGGGAGAGAAGAAAAATATAAAAAGAAATTTCATCTCTGGTATTAAAGCAGGTGAGAAAGATGGAGACTATTTGATTAACACTTCTATGAGCACACACATATGAAGACTAGTGGTAACTATTCATACGAGTAAGCAATGAAAATAATGTCTCGTTTTAGTTTTATTATATATATAAATGTGTGTGTGTTTTTTTTCGCGTTTAATAATACCATATTATCAAACAAGACAAAGTTGGAAAACATAATATAAATGTCTGATAGTTCATTGATTGACGATGTCCATTATTCTAATAACTAAGTTCATCTATTTCTATGTTAATTGTTCATATGTCCTTGTATATGTTGATTATGGTGTTGCGTGTACGTAATGATTGACGATCATTGGTGTAGATGATTTGAGGGAATGAAGAAGAAGAAGAAGTGAATCCTTATAAATAAGAAAAAAAATGAAGGAAAGGGTGTGTGTGATGATCCAAAACGACCTTGTGTAAAGGAAGCAATATATACTTGTATATATATATATATTCTATTCAAGAATTTGCATGCTCGACTATGTAATAGTTTTGTTATTATTATTATTATAGTGCTTCTTTGTCAACAACAGAATCAGAAGGATATGTGCATTAAGTTTTTTTTCTTTTTGAACTTTCTTTTAATCAAGATATCGTTATCTTAAAAGTGTTAAGAAGAAAGAATTGAAGTTGTATTTCTTGAAGTCATCATAGATACAGATCGATCATCAAATTGTCGGTAACTCACGCAAGCGTGTAAACACAACTGGCATGACATATCTGGTTAATATCTCAACATTAGACTTAATTATTCACTTTTTTGCTTATGTTCATCTCAAATAGCAGACACATAGTCAATAATAATCTTAAACGCAGAGTATGTTTTTGACAATGATCGATCACGAACATCCGTATATGTACAGATGCAATATGATCGATACATTGAACAGGTAAATATATTTTTGAAGAACTACTTGAAAATTAAATATTGCATAGTGTATCATCGAAAAAAAAAGAGGAGAAGAGGAAAGAGAAAGATTGTTGTAGTTCTATTCTCTCTCTCTCTCTCTCTCTTGTTCCTTCTCCTTTTCTGTTTCCCCCTTTGAGAGAAAGAGAACGTGAATGAATATGAGCATACATACTCATACATAAACGGCAGTGTCTGTCTCAAGAGTTGTTTTAGATGAGATGCAACCCTTTATAGAACAACCACAATTTTTACTTGAACCAAAATCTTTATTTATATTTGAAAATCAACCTGTTAAAATTGAATGTCAAGCTATTCGTTCAAGACAAATATTTTTTAATTGTGATAATAAATGGGTGCCAGAAAATGAACATATAAAATCAACTGAAACAAATGTAAGTTTAAAATAATTTCATTTCGATATTTTTCATTCAAACATACTCTTATAGGATAAGGGTAATATTATTATAATAACACAAATACAATTAACAGCAGATCAAATTGAAACAAATACATATAAATGTTTTTGTCAAGCATGGTCGGCAACAGGTGGAACACTTAAATCTCGAACAGCAACTATTGAAATAGCTTGTATGTATATATTTTCTCATATCATTAACTTATATTATACATATATATATGATAAGAGGGATATTAGCAGTTTATTCATGGTCAATATAAAGATTAGATCAATACTATAACACAAAATGAGATCTATTCAAGGTTATAAAAAGGTTGGGAATAAATAAATTGACATTTTTTCTTGTATATGTATGTTCAAGTAACAGTTATTAAAGAAAACTTATCCATTAATCGGTTCATATTGAGAGAAAAAGAAAAGTCGAGTGTTCTAATTTATTGGTGAAGGTTACCTTTACTCTATGCATATGTACTCATTAAAAGAACTAAACTATACAATGATTAGTATGTTACCCTTGACGGCAAAACGACAAAGAGAATATCATCGGTATTTTTAAATGTAGATTGACACTCAAACGAAAGAATAATAATACTTAAACATACATATATGACAAAGAGAATAATAGAGTAAGAAAACCCTATTAATAGTTGACTTTAGTCATTCTCTTAGATGTCAGATCATCAATCGATAGAGAGAAACGACCGCATATTGAACATATGTTCTCTAGTTGACATTTCTATATAAATATTTGATTATTTTAGATTTAGATAAAATATTTGAATGGGAACCATTAAAAACTGATAGTGTCATTGGAAAATCAGTTGAATTACGATGTCGTCCACCAAGTGGTAATCCATATCCTAAAGTAAGATATTATATAATCCGTGAAAAAGAAAATCACGATTCATCGTCCTTTATACCCCCAAATAAATAGATCATTATCGTTCTTCAAAAAAGACATATGGAGGTTAATAGTACACACACGGAAAAAAATGATTTCTATATACACATATATCCGTCCATCTTCTCAGCATATTTGATCGATTATTCAACTGATACTTGATGTCTCAAAGGGGTGGTAAAAAATATGTCATGCCGCTTCTATTGCTTTAGACATAAAAGAATTGAGAGATACTAGTCACTTCTTATTTTCACACTTCTCACCAACGGAACTAATTAAAGAAAATGAAACTTCTTATATAAAATCCAACTAATGTAATTTAGGTAACATGGTTAAAAGATAATCAAACAGTAGAAATAAATCGTAATGGTCGTTTTATACTTTCCAATGAAAATTCTTTACTTATTGCACAAATAAAAAAAATTGATGCAGGAAATTATACATGTGTCGCATCAAATATTGCTGGAACATATTCAAGTGAACCAGCTGATTTGATTGTTCATGGTATAGAAATAAATTGATTTCACCTGTTTTTTTTTTCATTAAAACAAAAAAATATTTTATATATAGATAATCTTGGCTGGTCTGAATGGCAAGCATTTTCTGAATGTAAAGGTATACCATGTAGTATTGGTCGTCAACGTCGAATACGTACATGTCTTAATCCACCAACGATTACAAATCGACCTAGTTGTGATGGAGAACATATGCAAGAAAGAGAATGTTCTGTGCCTTGTTTAAAAGATATATCACTAGGTTCGAAGAAAATTTTCTTTGTATAAAAAAAAATATTTCTTATTTATTTTTCAAGATACGAAATTTTCTGAATGGTCAGATTGTATTGGTATTCCATGTCAAATAGGTAAACAACAACGTGTACGTACTTGTTTAAAGCAATCTCAATGTAATAATAAACAAATAGAAGAACAAAATTGTTCTGTACCTTGTACAAATCAAACATCTTCCACTCCTGCTCAAACATTAATCAATGGTAATAAAAAATTTATAATATAATTAAAATAGGATTTTCTTTTTTTTTTGATTTTTAAGGTATCTATTCAAATTGGACAAATTGGTCAACATGTCGAACACCTGATTGTACATCAATACGAACACGTCAATGTTTACAAGAGCCATGTCTTGATTATTTAATCGAAAATCGTCCATGCAGAGGAAATTTATGCTCAAGTAAAGATTATTTCCGCAATTATTGTTATGTAATCATGTTATTTTTGTAGGTACTTTCGTTTCATCATCAACTCTCAATGCTATCGTTTATTCATCGGCTGGTATTGGTGGTCTCATATTTCTTCTTCTTACTATACTATTTGTTATTATATGTTGCCGTCGTCGACAACGTATAACGACAAAAAAAGGTACGAAAAAAAAACAAATGATTATATAATCTTGATATATTAGACATATATCTTGTATTTTTGATCTCAAGTCTAGACTAAACAAGATGACAGTTATTTCTCGATTTTGAGCAAGGCAACAGCTGAAATATAATTTTTTTTTTTTTATGTTTCCTTGTTATAATGAAAACGAAATGAAACGGACAGATAGCAATCTGTGCATGTGAACAAAAGAGAGAAGACCACTGAGATAATTGTGTAGTATGTGTTGGTTAATAGCAACAGCCGGACACTTGATTGATTAATGAATTGCAAACGAAAAAGGCAAAAAGAGAATAAGACAAAAAAAAATACTTATCATATGCACCATGTGCATTCATTTTTTTTTAATAAGTGAACAATTTTCTAAGGAATATTTAATGACATGAACAAATACAGGTTGTTTTTCAAGTCACGCATGTGACCTTTTAAATTGTTCCAATACAAATTTCTATTCTTAATATACTGACGACAAGGATAAATATAAAAATAGAAGCTCTAAATTTAATAAAAGTATCCATACAAGTACGGGTGGCGCGTGCCAACCAACATTGGGGAGAGGGGGGTGTAGCATTGTCGTTGGTAAAAAACTATGAAGTTTTTCAGATTTTGTTCAGCAAAAAATAGAAATTTCGAAAGATTCCGGCGGGGGGGGGGGGTTACATCCCCTCGGTCGTGCCACCCCTGTCATGCAAGATCAGTTTAAAGATTTAAAATAGTGTAACCGAATGTTTACAATTTGATAATTTTGATAGAAAAATAAATCTTTGTTTTAGGCTTGTCAACTTGTATCCCATCGGCAACGACATGTGGTGGATGTCATATAGAAAAAAATGATTATCCATTTTATTATTCAATACAACAAGATACAACGTCAACAAGATCTTGTACATCACATAATAATTCAATGTCATTAACAAATTCTGATAGTGGAATGGAAAAAGAACGAGTATTCTTTTTAAATGATTCACCATTGAAACCATTAAATCAAAATCATTTAAATATAATCTATGAAAAAATTCTTCAATCATTACCAGCAAATACGGATCTACGTTATTTTGCTGTATCAATACTTAATAATACAGGTTGTCAACTTAAAATTCCACATACAGGTATTACATTAACAATACCTGATGGTGCTGTTTTACTTGATGAAGATTCATTAATTTTTATTGCTTTACTTAATACGGATAATGAAATGCCTTTATTAAATAATAATCAAACACGTTTATCACCTGTTATACTCATAGGTCCATCTGATATAACATTAGTTAAACCAGCTGTACTTTCATTTGAACATACAGCTGTATTAGAATCTTCATGGAAATATAATTTAATGTTTACTGAAGATATTACTAATTGGAAAACAATATTAACATATGGACAAGAAAATATATCTACACCAGTTTATTTACAATTTAATAATGACCAACAAGCATTTATTTTAGTAAAAAAACAAAATTTTTTTGTATTTTAAAAATTTAAATGTATATATTTCTTTCTAGTTTGAAAATATGGGTGCATATGCATTAATTGGTGAATCTATATTAAATCATCATGCATCAAAATATCTTCAAATGGCTTGTTTTTATAATCAATCAACATTACGTATAAGATTTTTTGATAAAACATCCGATGCATTTGAACGTTGTTTAAGTGAAGAAATTGGAATGAAAAATTATTTATGTGATCAATCGAAACAATTTATTTTACATGATTATCAAGATCAAATATGTATTAATGTTGATTTAGAATTATCAACAATATCAAGAATTAATATTGGTTATAAAGAACTTCCATTTCAAACATTCTGGACTAATCGAATTGAACGATCTTGTTTTATTTTTATAATACCAAATTTACAAATGAATAATAATAATAATAATGATTTAGGAAAAAATTTTATGGAACAATTTGCTTTACATATTGATGTTTATCAACCTACAATATTTGAAAGTGCATTACATACACGTTTATATATTAATACACTTAATGTAAGTTTTCTAGTAAAAAGAATTTTTATAATAAATTAATCTCTTTTAGTTACAACAAACTCCTGGATGGGATTTAACATCATTACGTGATCGTCATTATTCAAAATCATCAGAAAAAGCATCTAGGTAATTGAAAAGAAAAGCAGGGTTTTATCCAGGTTTCTTTTTTCGGATGTACAAGTCGAACTGTCGGGTGGACGCCGCCTAACAGTGCTTTGCCTAAGTCTCGTATTTTGAGTGGGCGCCGCCCATCCGCTAGATAAAACACTGGAGAAAATCTGAACTTTGAAAGAAAATCAGTTTTTTTGTCTTTTAAGATTACCAACATTGATTCGACAAAAACTATGTCAGATACTTGATCCACCAACTTCATTAGGAAATGATTGGCGTATGTTTGCAAGTAATTTACTTGGAATCAAGTAAGATTGTTTTTGAATATTTATTTATTATATAATTATTTATCTAGTTATCTTCAATATTTTGCAACAAAAACCAGTCCAACGGAACATTTATTAACATTATGGGATGCTCGACAAGAATCACTTGTTAATATGATTAATGTACTTAATCAAATAGGTCGTAGTGACGCTGCTTGTATTATTATTACACATATGAATATAACACATTGATTGAATAATTCACGGTGCAAATAGAGAAAACGGACAATAACGATATTTTCTTTTTTTGATTTTTTAGTCTTGTGACAAATTCTTCTGCTGGTATTTTTATATGTCTTTATATATTATGTATTATATATGTCATTATTTGTCTCCGTTTTTTTTGCTTCTTTTTCAGTAATAAAAAATCATAATATCTATATTAAATTAAATCTTTTCATTACATTCATAATAGAAAACATAAGTAAAATATAGGATATTTTTATTTGCAAGACTTAAGATTTAAACTGATGACACATTTCTCTTAAGAGATTCTGATTTGGGAAAATTTACACTCATACTGATAGCGTTTCACCATAAGCGAGTACGCAGTTCATAATTACATATTGAACTATATACAAAACTCTTTAATAATAACGGTTTTCGAATCGTTTGAAAATAATAAGATCATAGTCGATACGATTATTTCGAATTACGAATATAAAAGTAAATCGAAAAGCTCGTATAGCCTAGTCAATGTTTATTATTGAAATTATGAAAACTATCATGATTCTTTTTTTTTCTTCTAATTAAATCCTATATATAAATATTGTCTTAGGTGCTTTTACTGTTGGTAATCGTCATTATTTTGAAAATATATATATTGGTTGGGGTATTAAAAATTTCATTGAAAATTGTCAAGCAAATATGATAAATATTTTACCAGAAACGGAAAATAATTTACGAATAATAGAACAAGATGATCCAACAATAGAAGAAGAAAATGAATTATTTAAATCTTCAGTTTTATTATCACCAGATGAAGATGAAGAATTTGAAGATAATATAGATTTTAATAGAAGAAAATAAGTTATTGAATTAAAAAAGTAAAACAAATAGAAGTGGCATTAAAAACAGCACAATACTACTGATTGATGCGACACCATTATTATATGATATACGTGGTCCATGAGTGCCAGAACTATTTAGATTATTTGTATTTAATTGAAACTTATTTAAACGTACGCTTTCTTCTTCTTCTTCGTTACTATATGCATCTTTAATAATTCCAGTTAATGGTTTTTCATCAATTATCTCTCCAATAAAATAATCGACAGATTCTACTGTATTTTCTTTGGTAATTGTGTTGTTTGTTTTCATAGTAGTAGAATTATCCGTATGAGAAGATGATGATACATTCATATAAGCTTTGCTTAAGATTTTCCAGGAAACTATTAACAAAATATAATCGAATTACTAATAAATTCAAGAAAAGAAAAGATTCTATAGGAAATCATTTCTTACGTGGAAGTGAATTACAGAAGTTTGAACGGCAACATGTTTCAATCCGAATATCACTATCAAGTGAAAAATCACTTGGTGTACAAAAACGACTAGCACATGTTCGATAAGGTTCTTGATCAATAAAACCAGCCTTTAAAATATGAAAGAAATAAACTACATATGATATGTATTGTTTTTGAAATAATATTTACCCAACATAATTGTGTTTTTCTATTACAAATAACTTTATTTTGATCAGTATCTATTACTTGTTCACATTCATTACCTTTACATGAATAACATAAAAGTTTATCATTATCGTCTATATTGAATAAAAAATCCCATTCGATAGAATTATTAATACAAAATTCTACTAAGAACAGGAATTGAAATAATCGATAGAACATTATTGTAAATGATGTTTATGAATAGATCAGTCGAACAAATAAATATTTTTTCGTCACAAATGTCATAGATAACGAATTGTCAGGTGTAACTCTCTGCAACTGTCATACATACGTGTTTTTCTCTTCTGCGAAGGAAACTCGATCGAGCGTGCATGACAAAAAATGAAAACGTAAGTTCGAATGACACATATCTTCAGGGAGAAAATATTGATATAATTACTCACAATTTCGGTGTTTATTAAATAAACTATTTCTAGTGACTATTAGAAAGAAAAAGAACATCATATATTAGTTATATTTTCTTCTATTACTATCAATAGAATCGATATTTTGTCCTTGAATTATACTCGATGAAATTTTTATCTTAGTAATGATAATTGAATTTCGAAATATTGGAAGTAAATTTTTATGATAAAATAGCAATGCTCTTTTATCGGTCTACAAAATGTATGAAAAAATAGAAACAATTTTTCAGTATTCAACAGTAACATGCCTTAAAATATATTTTTAGAAACTAGTTAACCGTACCTCTAAAAATTGTAGGAAAAAGAAAATGAGTACGTAAGATTTATATTTCGATATTATCTTTTTTTCAACATTCCTAGTCATTTACATTTATTTTCATTTTTTGCATTTTTTCATCATACCAAGTGGTTTTCGTATCCTGATCGAGAATGTTATATAAATTTGATTGATGGGTGATTAAAGTGATAGATATTCGACGAAAAAGGTATATTGTTCAGCGATAAATCTGAGCAACAATCAATATATACACACGTTCTCATCAAAATTGATGTAATTCGAACCCCATGACCTTATATGAGGTAAACCTAGTAAAAAAGAACATGCACACATTTAACTGAACTTAAAATTAAATAATAGTAACTCGATTTTATTCATAAAGATATAATTTTTCAAGAGCAAATGACTAATAAAACTATAGATATCATATATTTAATATGATATGATTTTGTCTATGCTCTCGGATTAGTTTCTAGATGTAAATCTATGATATATGATATTTAATGTTAGCATCAGTTTAAAAAACAATTATAGAGTTGAGTAAATTCTATATAAAAATGAGAGAGAGAGAGAAAAAAAAGGAGAATAAAAGCATACATGACAAATGAAACGTTGATTAATCAACATTCTACTGCATATACATATGAATAAAACAAAAAAAAAGAAGAAAAATGAAATAGTAATACAGACACAAGCAAATAAAATGAAGCGATGTATGTTAAAAACTTAGTGCGTATGTGAATGTAAATGAGTATAATGTTGTACTATTGGCAGAAGAAACAAATAAAATAACAAAAATTATGGTCGCCAAAGGCCAGATTGTCGAACAGCTTGTTGAAGAAGTGCTTGTGCACGACTGATCTGTTCTGGTGTTCCTTCAATTGTTATTATTCTATCACCACCTCCACTATTACCACTAGGAATTGATTGATCATCAATAATTATATTAGCATTTGTTGTTTGACGTATCTGTTGAATTTTTGCTCCACGTGGTCCAATTATAGCTCCGACAAGTTCATTCGGTAATGTTACCTAGAAAAGAAAAATTATCAATAAATAAAAATACACTAAAAAAAAAACTAATTTACACGTGTTGAAGTGAGTAATGCAGTATTGTTATAACGAGCATTTAAACCTGGTCCACCCCCATACGATACATCAACAAGAGGAGGTAATGGTTGAATAGGATACATGCCACCACGTTGTGCAGTCGATGAATATCCGCCGCCACCACCGCCGCCGCCGCCGCGTGGATTATATGAAGAACGATTATCAACTCCACCTGGAGGTTGAAAACCACCTAGATAAAAAAAAAAGTAAATTCGAAATATAAAAAAAATACAAACTAACCATATTCATTCACAGCATAAATGTCGAAATTATGTGGATCATATTGAATTAAAGGAGAACCTCTTGGTTGTTGTGATGATGTTGCCATTAAATTATATATGTCCTAAAGAAGAAGAAAAAAAAAATTAAAATTCAAGTCTTTTTATATTTCTACTATTTACTTTAATACATTCAATAATTTCTTCAGTTTTTCCACGTAATGAAATAACTCTTTCATGACTTAATGGACAACATTGAGAAAAAACTTTAATATCGAGATTATATGTTTGTCTTAATTCTTTGACATGTTGTCCACCTTTACCAATAATAGCTCCACAATATATTTGATGAACAAGTATTCGAATTTCTGATGCAATTGGTTCATCATTAGTATTTGGTTGTATTTCTTCCGAATTTCCTCCTCCAGGAGTTGTATTACGTCTACGATTAAATGATGAAAGACGAGAACTATCAATTAAATTTGGAATGATTTGATATAAAGCATCAAAACATTGATCTTGTTCGCCACTTAAAATTAATACACGTTCAGGTGAGGCACAATCAGGTACTTGAATTATTATACGTGGATGATCAGCACGAAGTTTTTGTATTGCTAAACCGCCTTTACCTAAAAAAATTATTTAAATCATTAGAAAAACAGCATTCCTATGACATTATTTTGAAAAAAAATGTATATATTTTATAACTAACCAATAACTGCTCCAGCATCACGAGAAGTCATTAATAAACGTATTTCAATACCAGATGCAGATGAGTAAGGATTATTACTATTGCTATTCATACGTCGATTGCTATTAGTATTATTATTTGATACTTGACCATAATCATCATCTGATGATGTCATCTTGTCTACTAGATCGGAGTTAAATAGGGGAAGTTTGGAACGGGATCTAGGTGCTAAGACCTTATAGTTGACTGATATTAAACAGGCAACAAGTCTTAAATAAAATAAAAAAGAAAACAAATTAGATAATATTGAATATTTAGTTTTTAAACTTGATCAAAAAAAAACATATACACATGGTGAATAGGGTATATTCAATTGAAATAAACATGAGCTATTTTAACACGCTAATGCAGTTTTCATTCTATTCATATGTCTATTTAGTACACCATTAGAAAAGAACAGAAAGAGAGGACGCTTTATTTTTATTTGCTTTTACTGTAAGGTTAAAAAAATGTATAAATATAAACTATATATATGTCCTTAAATATAAAATTAGAATTCCGAAAATTTCTATTATAAAAAACAATTGAATCGATTATTACTGAGTTTTACAAGTTGTAATCGAGAAAATTTATCTTCTTTTTAACATTAGATTTACTTTGATCTAAGTAATATTTTGATTTAAATGGTTTCTATTCTATCTTACCTCCGTTATACAACAGATTAAGATTTCAGTTCTCGTACTGTTCAATTAATTATCGTTTTTACAATCTATTCATTGGCGGATTTAGGGGGGTCACTCCTTCAGAAATGGTTTTTGATTTTTGACAGCAAAAATAGGTTCACACTACTTCGATTGTACTAAAAAAAAGTTTTAGCCGAAATTGCCCCTCCCCTCCCTTCGAAAATTCTAGATCCGCCACTGAATCTATTCGGTTGACGAAATTATATTTTATTTTCAAGAATTATAAAAAGAATACAATATATATTCATCAATAACTAAAATTGAGAAGAAATCATGAATCTCAATAGTATAGATTCAATTTCCTAATAGATTCATCTGATATACACTGTTGTTAAATAGAATAGGAAGATCTGTGATTCATATACAATCAAATAATTGTATATCATTCAATAATTAATTCAATGCAAGAAAAATGGGAATATTTAGTTTTTGTATATTTTATTTTTTAATAAAACAATAAAAAAGAAATTGAAACCCTCAAACACAATGAACTGTTTTCATATATAAAATACAGATGTCAACATCAATAAATATAAGAAAAAGTTCATAATTTGTTATACTAAAATACGTGTAATTTAACGCCATGAGTTAAAGTCGAAAGCAGGACATTCACTACATAATCCTAATGGATTACTAGAATAGAAGAAGAAAAGAAATATATTAATTTTTAAATAATATTAAATTAAAAAGAAAATAAATTACGTTTGATCATTTGGTGGTTTAAATGGATTCAAAGCTACTTTTTCAATATCAGTTGAATGGCAAATAAAACAGTTGTATGTATATTTATTTATAGCAGTTAATTGTTCTTAAAACAAATAAATACGAATATATAAATATAGGAAAAATATTGTATAACAAACCTGGTGTAAATTGACCTTCATGTTTATAGAAAAGACGATCACCATATTTAAGATTTCGGAATTGTGTACCAATAATACATGCAGAAACTGGACCAACTAAACCGCCTGGTACATGATTTTCATGATTCATACCAATGAAAAGATCAACATCTTCAGGATGACTAAAAAATGAGATAAAACATTATGATCTATTCGAGGGAAATTTGCGATTTTATTCTTCTGCATCGTATAAAGATAATAAATTTGATAAAATCCTTTACCATCTAACTCTTCGCACTACGACTAATAATTATCTTTCTTTAACTATATGATTTTAAAAAGAAAAAATTTACTCGTAAATTGATTGTAATTTTGCAGCATTTGCTGGACCCATTGTGTCAGCAAAGTCTTCAAATCGTGAAGCACGTCTAAGACCGCAAAGTTCTCGGAAAGCATTATAACCCGGAATACCATGTTCACGAGCACGACAAATATTAATTGCAACAATATCGTGACGTTTTACTTCACCAGTTTTAGTTGTTGTTTCAAATAAACGATGATGAATATCTTGACCAAAATTTGCATCACCAGCAAAACCATAATCATATAAGGCTCCACATAAAAGTGAATCAACACCATTATTTGCACCACTAAAAAATTAATTAATAAATATTTATTTTCGAAAATAAGCTTATATTTATTACATACTCATAAGCTAATTTGGATTTAGCAAGAATATCATGTAACCAAACTTGATCAATTAATTTAGCTTGAGGTGTACAACGTGTATATAAATCACGAACAAGTGTATGTAAACGTAATGCAGCTGTAACAGCTTCATTGATTACAACACCACGAACCTAAATGAACAAAAATGAAAGTAGAAGACTTAGTTATCTTAAAATAGTCATATATATATATTTACGTTTGGATCATATCGACTAAATAAACCGCTATCTCCAGTATATTGTTGTGTTGCTTGTTTACCAATGAGGATTGGTAACCAGAAATCATATGTATAACGTTGATGAAGTGCTGATGAAATTTTTTTTGTTTCGTCATATAAAACATCATCATTATTTTTCCATTCTGGATGTATTTCAGCCATTTTTTTTGCAAATAAATTGTGTATACGTAACCATTGAGCTTGAATACCAGATAAAAGTACATTTTCCATTAAACGTGAATCACCACCAGCAAAGCATTTTTGTGTTTCAGTTGAATCTGTACATGATTTTCCTTCACGTTGACCTGGTGGTATTTCAAATTTGGACCATGATTTTTTGGCTGTTTTTAAGAAACCATCGCGACCAGCACGTAAACCTACAGCTGTTTTTTTAGTACTACCATATGTAACTGATAAATCAATATAATGAGAATTTCCATTCATTTGATCTTTAACACCAAGTGTACATTGTTGATCGGTAAAAGCTTGAGCTGTTGCTGGCATAGTCATACATTTTTGTCCAGCCATAAATGGATCATTTGAAGAAATTTCCATAATGGTACACATATCGTGGTCTTGTGAACTACAACTGCATGATGAAACTGGTGTACGACCAGAGTCAGTAACTGGTGTTGCTAATGATATATCATGAACAAGAAATTGACCATAACCAACAAAAAGATTATTGAATGATGTATCGAATACAGGTTTTGAACTCATAGTTACACTTATTTGACGGCATGCTGGTAATGGACCACCTAAGACTGATCGTGAGCGTGGTTTACTGATTCCTAGAATGAAAACATATACATAGTAATTTATTTATGATTATAAAATTCAATGTTCAACTACAAATTTGCTGCATTTATCAACTATTTGAAAACCAAATTTTAAGTGGTGAATTTTCTTTCAATGTGTATAGGACAGTCAAGCAGATATTGATTCAGATTACCGTGCGTGAGAATAACAGATTCGACCATAGAATACTATCGAATATGAAAGGATTAACGAGGAGTGCTTGAATACTATGTTTTTTTACTTTACGATTATTTATAACTTAGTAACAGTGTTATATCCTACCATCATCATAAGCTGCTGGTAATAAACGTGTATAAGCTGTTTGTGAACTTCCTTCATATGGACGTTCAAGATTGTTACATACACCAGTTATTGTTCGGAAACGTGTGAAACCGCTACAGTCTGGATTTGTATTAAATGCACATAGACTTGGTGGTAAGCGAACTCGTCGTAAAAAGCGATCACTAAAATTATATATACATATATACAAATATTCCTTTGTTTTCTTTTTCCAACTTACATGCGTTCTGTAAGTGTTGAATTTGTTTCACATCCGAGTCTATATTAATCAAATAAAAAATTATAAAGAAATTTTTTTTAAATTTTATTTACTGTGACATAATTTCTGCGGATACTTTTGTTGCAGCACGAGCAACTAAGGCACCATTGAGTGCATCAGCACGTAATTGAATTGCATCAAAATCCATAATATCATCTTAATGAAAAAATAAAATAAATGTTCATGTTTATCTCTTTTTTACGTTTAATACATACTATTTTTTAAACCATCATTACGAACACGTTCTTGTTTTAATTTTCGTTCTTCTTCTTGAAGTTTTTGATGGAGTAATTTTTGTAATGTTGATGGATTTAATAAGACTTGTGATTGTTCACTTGAAATACATTGTGGAAATGGTATGCGAGATCGACTAATATCATTTTGAAGTATAAATCGATTATTCAAAGTATTTGGTGTAAAACCTATTGTTTTAACAAGTGAAATCTGTTGAACAGGTAATCCACGTTGTGTTTGTTGAACAGTAGACCACTGACAATTAATAGTCGAAATAAATGCAACGAGCAGACTAAGCAATATAACCGCTCTCATCTTATATTCTATACTAAAATTAAAACAAAATTTTTATCGATGTTATACACGTTAACTAGTAAAAGTAAATGTTCGTGAAATTATTTATGTAAACTTATAAGAAATTTATATATGTTAGATTTATTTGTTCTACATCCAGGGCGTTCGTATTCCGATATCATATAGAAAAAGAAATGCCGAGTTTGCAAACAAAGATTATACATATATATATGTATACTGATCGTCATCGTTTTCTTTCTTCATACACATAAACATATATGTATGATATCAATTTGCATTGTAACATCGATTCCAGGGATTCGACATTGTACAAATAGTCATTTATGTCGAACAAAATTAGCTGTTCATATTTTATATTTGACAAAAACAGATGTACGTAAAATACCCGACGAAGATCGAACTAATTTATACTTTATTCAATAAAATGTATTGAAATAAGAAAAGTTCAAACAAGACTTCAATTCTGCGTAAAAAACTCGAATGTTATAATTGTTTTACTAACTATTTGAAGATATTCACGCAATTTTTTATTGTAAGATTTGCGCAATATCTCGAAAGTGTGTCAGTTAAATTGAATACACTTTTGTTAAAGTAATAGTTATACAAGTCAACTCGATTTTTGTGCATAAAATATTTAGAAAACTATAAAAATGATGATACCGACATTTTGTTTCCATAGTAAATATATTGGGTATTTTCTAAGATTAGTGCTAACACTTATATCATAATGTCTCTTAATCAATTTTGTTTTATTTATAGAAATGTTAACAATAAATCTAGGTAACCGAATCGATGTGATTTAATCAGTTGAAATATTCAAAACGTAGGAGACAGTCTTATCTACGCGATGATCTATTGTTTTTAAAATTTCATGAATATTAAATCTTTGTAACTTTTATCATAAACTAAAATAATTAGTTTGAAATAATTTCAATAAAACTCCATATATTTTAGGAAAGAAAATAGTGCATGTAAGTTATAAATCGAGATTTTTACGACTCCCCTCCTCTCCCTCTCTCTCATTGCACACCCTGGCAACCGGCGTCGAAGGCTATTGAGTCTAAATCGAGGCAAACAGCTGAGGCTGTCTTAAAATTGCTGAATGTGATTACGGATGGTGTGGAATAAGGATGTAAGTGTAGGTGACAGACTAATACATCATCCACTCTTGAGAAAAATCGTGACTATAAATTTTTAATTCAAATTTGCTAGTTGGTACACCTTGCAATGGCTCTTATACACTACACTCATACGCTATTGCATAGTAAATTCTCTATAGCACCTGCAAAGCGTTTTCAAGGCGACGACAAGCTTATTTGATCATTTACAAGTCACACATGACTTTAATCAAATCTTTATATTATCATGTATTTTTATCTTTTTATTTATTTTTTATCCGAAATAAAACAATAAGAAGAAAATGAAGAAACTAAAACAAAAGTCACTGAGATGACATCGAGACTCGAAAAATCAAAACAAACACATAATATGTAAAATCCGCTTATGATGATTTATCTTTCCAATAATTAAATTTGAATGGTCTACATTCTGAGCAGCGTTGTAACATATTACTAAAATAAGAAAAGAAAAACAAATATATTCGAACTTTATTTCAATAATAGTATATCTCACTCTGAATCATTTGGTGATTTGAATGGATTTAATGGTATTTCATCAATATCAACGAAAGCACAATAAAAGCAATGGATTGGATAATCTTGCATTTCTTTTAATTGCTCTAAATAATAGAAATATGATTATTTAAACAAAACAAAAAAAGAATTATAATTAGTCATACCAGGTGTAAGTACACCGTGATGTGAATAAAATAAACGATCACCATCTCGAATAACATTAAATTGTTCAGCAATAAGACATGCTGAAACTGGACCAATAACACCGCCTGGTATTTGATCTTCTAAAGCAAGTGCAACGAATAAATCAACATCATCTGTATCTCTAAATAAAACAGACACTCAAGTTTTATAAAACAAAAACAATCTATGAACTAACTTGTAAAGTTTTTGCAATAATTCGATACCATCATAATTAATTGTATCTCCAAAATCTTCAAAATAACTTGCTTTTGGTAATTTACAATGGTGTCGATAAGCATTGTAACTTCGAATACCATGTTCACGACCACGGCAAATATTAATAGCAACTAAATCATTACGCCATAATTGTTTATATTGATTTGTTGTTTCAAATAAACGATGGTGAATTTGATGAGCAAAATTTCCATCATGAGAGAAACCATAATCATAGAATGCACCGCAAATAATTGAATCAAGACCATTAGCTTCAACACTATTAAAAAAAAGTTCTTATTTATCCTTTAAATTCTACTAGAAAACTTACTCGTAAGCAAATTTAGCTTTAGCATTAATATCATGTAACCATAATTGATCAATACGTTTGCCATCTGGAGTACATCGACTGAATAAATCACGAACTAATGTATGTAAACGAAATGCAGCTGTAGCAACTTCATTGTATGTAACTGGTGCTACCTAAATATTTCTTAGTATTATAAAAAAAACCTTTTTCTTTCGAACTTAAAAACTTACATGTTTTTTATATTCCGTTTCACCTTTCTTATAATCCGATTCACCTTTCTTGTATTCTGAATCACCTTTCTTATGTTCCGATTCACCTTTCTTATATTCCGAATCACCTTTCTTATGTTCCGATTCACCTTTCTTGTATTCCGATGCACCTTTCTTATATTCCGATGAACCTTTTCCACCAAAATAAGTTGCATAATTTTCTTCTCCAAATAAGATAGGTAACCATTCATTCCATGTGACTCGTTGAAACCAGGCAATGTTTATTTGTCTTGCTACTTCATAAAGTTCATTATTTTTCCAGTATGGATTGAGTTCATGTAATTCTTTAACGGCGATATTGTGTGCACGTAAATGTATTGCTTGAATACCAGAGAATAAAAGATTAATCATTAAACGTGAATCACCTATTGAAAATAATAAATAAAATTTAGTTTATTTCTTATTATATTATATACCTCCAGCAAAACATGGTTGTTTATATGTAGCATCAACACATGATTTTCCTTCACGTTGACCAGGTGGAAATTCAAGTTTTGCCCAATGTCTTCTTGTTGATTTTAATGTACCATCATCTGAACGTAAAACAGCAGCAGCACGTAATGTATTACCATAGATATTAGATAAATCAAGAAAATGTGTATTTCCATTCATTTGTTCTTTAACACCAAGTGAACAAATTTGATTTTTAAATGCTTGTGCAGTTGCTGGAAAAGCCATACATTTTTGACCACGTAAATATGGATCATCAGATTTAATATCAATAACATTACATTTATTCCAATCATGTTTTGAATCACATGTACATGAAGAAATAGGAGTTGAATAAGTATCAGTAACTGGTGTTGAAAGTGCCATATCATGTCCCATAAATTGTCCATAGATGACCCAGAAATTATTGTATTCTCGATTGAATAATGGTTTTGATCCTAATGCTAAACTAACTCGACGGCATGATGGTAACAATCCTCCTTTGACAGATTTACGACGAGGTTCACTAAGATCTTTCAAAAAAATAAAAAGTTTAGTCAAAACAATAAAAGTTCATATTTTTTTTAGCATACGATCATCATAATCAGCCGATAATATACGTCCAAAAGCTGTTTGAGAACTTCCTTCATATGGACGTTCAAGATTATTACAAACTCCAGTAGCAGTTCGATATGTTTTCTTTTCAGAACAATCAGGTGCATCACGATATTTACAAAATTCTTCAGGCATTTTGAATTTTTGAAGAAAATGTTCTCTATATAAAATCAACAAAAGATTTGAAAAAAATAAACGTAATCATCTTCTTACAAATTATCGGTATCTGTTCCATTAAGATCACAAGCAAGAACAGTCATAATATCTCTTGTTAATTTAATTGCAGCTGTAGCAGCTGATCGAGATTTATGATGATCGCCTTTTGTTCCATAATTATCATAATCCATTTCATCATCTAAATATCAATTATAAATAATTATTGAATTATTATTCATTTTTCTATTTATATTACCATAGTGATGTTTTTTATTTTCATGATGTTCATGTTTTAAATTTTTTAGTTCATCATCAATTGCTTTATCAAATAATTTTATTAATGATGGTGAATCGAGATAGTTAGATTTGGCACCAGATACCAAACATTGTGGAAATGGAACTCGATGTTTTCCGTCTTTATACTCTTTATTATCATCCTAAATAAAAAATAATAAAACAAAATCCGTATTTTTATTAATTTATCTTACAGTATTCCACCATTGGGTTGGAGCACGATATTCTGTTCCAGCTACGAATATCGCAAGAAAAGCGAAAAATATAACCACCTTCAACATTTTTCCTAGAAAATAAATTTTCTGACTGCTAGAAAAATGAATCTGTCTATAAAGTAAAAAAAAATCTAAATGACTGCTTACATATATTCTTTATAATCACACACGTCCTTGATTTCTCTCTTCTAGGTATTCACGTTTAGATATCACATATATATATATATGTACATATATATCGATAGAGGAAAACAAAGACTATAATCACTACATCTTTAATCTTTCTTTTCCAATGACCTGGGATGTATATACCATAAAATTTCATAGAATGATGAAATTTTCTATCGATTAAAACTATCGTGATTGAAGGACATAAATAGATGTTCTATCAGTATGATGATTTCGTTAAGAAATACTATTTAACGGAGGTCGATATATAGCTCAAATCAAAACAAATGTCGTAAACTTCTTATAATTTTAATCTTCTCGTTTTAAATAGATTGATTAGATCTATTATTTTCTTATTGAAAATTTGATAGATGAAAATTGAATGAAATTTTACTAAACAATTTAGTATATGAAAAATAATAATAAATAAATGACTAGAGCTTTCGAAAGTCATCGACAGTAGTAGTATTATTAAATGATTTTGTTGATAACTGAATACAATACCAATGAAAACATAGGACTATACACATTATATTTTATTTCTTACGATAAAAAGAGAGAGAGTTTATTTTAGAAAGATTTATACAGTTTATCAATACGATAGTCCGTAAAAAATGCCCATAGAAAAGCACAAAATGCCAGAATAAATATTCCATTGATATTACAAATACGCTTCCAAAAAACATTTTCAGCTGCTAATGGTGGCATTGTTATTAATGCATTTGCTTGATTATTACCATCCTTTGATTTTTCAACACCACATATCCATGAACATATTACTTTAAAATAATATTTTGCATTTTTATTCGATGGATCTATAGAAATAAATGAAAGATTTTTTTTTCAAATATATATTTTTAATACCTGGATAAAAAATAGTAAATCTCCGTCCCGATTCATTCGTTGGTTGAATTACAGTCGAAGTTCTTGGAATATTTTTATCTTCAAACGATGTATCAGCTTTATGCCAATAACCTATTTTTGTTGGTATTGGTGTTGGTTTAAGTGGATTATTTAAATCAAATATATTCAAACCATATAACTATAAGAAAAAACAATATATTCTATCAATATAAAATAGTTTTTCATACACATTGTTCAGGAATTGGTCGAGTAAGTAAACTAATTGTAATTGTAATTAAATAAGTAAGTACAAAAAGTAAAATAGCAAAATATAGAAAATGAAATTTAATTGCTGCTGGACGTTGATCAGTATGTAATAATTCACATGATGGTACTACATAAGAAAATTCCCAAATAAAACGAATTAAACCAATTATTAAACCACATATAAGACCCCAAAATGCACTCTAAATAAAACAAATAAATTTTATTCGATTTTAAATTAAACAGACTTCTTCATTAATTCGTTTCCATAAAATCGCAAGAAGATATATAGCACATATTGGTGGAGCAAGAAAACTTTGTACTGCCCTAAAGATTATCTCATGTTTTTATTTCTTGTTTAAATTCAGAATATCTTACTGAATATAATCAAATAATCGACCACCTTGTGCAATTGAAATAATTGGAATCCAAAGAATTGATATTACAACAAGTATTAATGTAAAAATTCTTTAATAAAAGAAAAAATAGAAAACATATTGCATTAGTTTAATTAATTTTAACCTTCCAACAATAAGTAATTCCCATTGTGGTGCATTTGTTCGAAAACGTTGCCATATATCAATAGTAAATATAGTTGAACTTGAATTAAATATTGATGTTAATGATGTCATCAATGCTGCTATCATACAAGCAAGCATAAGACCACGTAAACCATTAGGCATTAATTCAATAACAATTAATGGATAAGCTATATCTGTACATGATGCTTCATTACCACAAATTTGTTTACATGTTTCAGGATTTGAACAAGCAATTCTATCTAAATAAAATAGTTTCTTAATATCAAAGAATTGTTTTTTGGTTACCTGGAAAAAGTATACGTGCAGCCATGCCTGGAATAATCATAAGAAAAAGAGGCAAAAATTTCAAATAACTGGCAACAATACAACCAGCTCGAGCATGAGTTAAATTTTTGGCAGCAGGTGCTCGTTGAACTATAACCTGAATATTGACAAAATGATTAATAAAATGATATACTTTTATTTCGTATTTACTTGATCACTAAAAAATAAAACAAAAAAACATTTTTATAGTTTTATATCGTAAGTCATCGGTTCAATATTTAGCTGACTCAATCTTTGATCTCAAATAGATTAATTCGTTTATTTATTAACTAACCTACACCAATACCAAATGCTTAAAATAGTCATACCAATAATGCCGACCCAAGGAGGACCATTATCTGAATTCAAAGGTCGAATAACACTGAAATAATCTTCTGGTGGTATACCACAAAATGTTTCATTAAATAGAGTTGTATCAGCAACAGAATATGGATAAAATTCTTTGATTAATTGTAAACCACCAACTCGAACATAACTTATAACCATAAGAATACAAGCGGCAATAATCATGATAATTGTCTGTATAAAATCAGTCCAAATTACGGCGGATAATCCTCCTAGAAATATTTATTTTTATAGTTTTGATAATAAAAATTATTTAATTTAACTGACCACCAATAGTAAACAGAGCAGCCAGAGCAACAAGTGCAATAACAGATACATACATATTCCACCCAAGTGCTTGATTAAGAAAAATTGCACCAGAATAAAGATCAACTGATATTTTTGTAAATATAGAAAGTATTAAAGCAAGAACTGTTTGATAAAAACGAATTCTATCACCACCAAATCTTTTCTTTAAAAATTCCGGCATTGTAAAAACCTTAATTACAAATATTTATATTCATTAATAATATTGTCTTCTCAGCATTTAATTATAACTTACATCAGCTTTTATATAAACAGGTAAGAAAATCCAACCAAGGATTATTAATACATAACTAGCCTAAATATTCATTTTAATATCATGATATTCTTATAAAAATTTCTAATTACATACATTTAATTCAAAACCAGCTACACCAATTCCATTACTTACTCCGCTACCTGTTCAGAAAAATTACTTCAATGATACGAATAATAGAATTATCATTACAATCAAAACTAGTGTATTCAAGACCCCTACTTCGGTATGCCCTTAAATAAGGATAGCATAGAGTGAATAACCGAAGATTTATATGATATATTATATCTTTTAAGAAGATGATTTCATATGTATTCTCATCATAAATAATACCTGCAAGACCAATAAAATGTCCACTACCAATATTGCTTGCAAATAAAGATGCTCCCACCTAAAATGTGTCATTTGATATTTACTAATAAATGAGCGAAATAAAATATTACTGGTAAAAATGTCATAGTTCTTCCGGCAAGAAAATAACCTCCTAAAATAAATAATTAATAAAAACATAATCATCGATCAATATATAATACAAACCAATACTGCCACGATTCTTACAGGATGACTAAAATAAATAAATATCATTATTAAATTTTATTTCATAATTAAACATACCCATATACCAAATCCGATTACAATTGCAAAGTAAGCAATCAAGACTAAAATGTCTGCCCAGTGAAGAGAAAAACTATTGATCGTATCTGCCATCTTATAGCAAAATAAGACCAATTTCTGATTTATTTCATTTTTATCTTATTCTATATATGCATAGCGTTAAATATTAGAAATCCTTTGTCAATATTTTTCAAATATTAATCATAACTAAGTAATTGTAAAGTTCTTCAGATATATGTCTGACACATATTGTAAAGGTCAGATGTCTGTATTCTTATTTCTTTTTTATTCATAAATACAGCAGAAAAAAAAAACAAATACAAAAAACGAAAATAATCATATATATAATATTTTTGTTCGGTTAATTTAATCTCCATTTTCGTGAGTTAATGCAATAAATGCATCAGGAGGAAAATTATTATCAATTGAACGTTTTCGAATACGTTTAATATTTTCTTGTGTTATACGAAATCGTTCACGTAAATCCTGAATTTCATTTCGTACACGTTGACGAGCATTTCTAATACGTGCGATTGTCTCCATTTGTTTCATAGCATCTAAAAAATATAATCATTAATCAATAAAATATACAGGAAAATCTTATCATATACATACATTCTTTTTCAGTAGCTCGATCACCATCTGTTAATGGTATAAGAGTTTTCGTACTATTGAGTAATTGAGCAAAAGATTCCGATGGTTCTTGAAAAACCTACGATTTAAGTTAAAATAAAATGGGGATTAATAGGGAAATTGTAGAATAATATATGAGATTTATTATGAAAGCTTACTGTTTGACTTTTTCTATTTACTCGAAAAAAGTTCTTAAAATCATAGGCAAATAATTTTTGTGTATAAATAGATCAAACAATCTCCCGAAATTTTCAGCGAAAACAAACTGTCTATCTCATAAATATTCACTTGTTAAGACATTTGACCTTCTATGACTTTGTTGCATCTAAACTGATATTTTACAAAAATTCGACGTCGAATAACCATACATAAAATTTGCGGATTTTCATTACTGAAAAGGAAACCCATTGTTACGAGGTATATAAATTCTTACCAATTCATCATAATATTCATTGACAAACGGTCTTTTACCAGTAACAACCTCTGGATCAGTTGAGAATAATTTTAAATGATGATAAAATATCACCTAAAATAATTCAATTGAAATAGTTTCCTGATAAATACACATACAGGTTTTTCATTTGGATCTAAAAAGAAAATTGTTATCTGTATTTCGAATTCACCCCAACCACTTTCTTCTACTTCAAATGGTGCTTGATTTATCACTATAAGAAATCAAAATTTTTGAAAATAATTATTAAGAATTTTATTCACTTCGATTATGATTCGGATATGTTTCATGTAAACGAAATTGTACACGACTAACATAAGTTGATATATCATCATTATTCAATGATCGAACATAAATTGTCCATCTATGTGTATGTCCATCAGAATCTCTTTTCGAACCAAAATGTTTTGCTGTATTACCATACAAAATAGGTTTAACAATCACTACTGGTACTCGCTAAAAATAACATAATTATTTTCCTTTAATTAGTTTTTCATTGTTATTACTGGTTCGAAACTTATTGTTGACATCTAAAAATTGTTTAACTCAAATTTAGACATAAAATATATCTATAGTTTTTTATTTCATATTATAAAGAAATTACATTGGTTTGAAATTTATATCTAATAAAGTAAAATTTCACTAGATGACACAAGTAGGCAAGGTATAAATAACGATCTTGTTTACATAGAATTTATATAAAATTAAATTTAGTAATATATTTTTGAACATGATGTAATTATTCATTAGAAATATTTATTAAATGACGAAATGAGAAAAAACAATTATTATAAACGATTTCATTTCTTTTTCTTACGAAATATAGATATATGTTTATATGTAATATATGATTGATTTTGAAGACGACTCAAACGAAATTATTTTTCGCTATTCTGCTTTTACCAACCATAACAAATTTATGTTAATAACAAACCATATTTAATATAAATAAACTATGAAATTTCTATTATTTTCTCCGAAAATATGATAAACTATTCTTGAAATATTATCAAAACAAGGTTATTTTTTTTATATTGATAAACAATTGACAGTAAAATGATAATATTAATAAGATTAATAAAGCATTTGTTTCGATGAACAACGGTTCCTAATATATTCTATGATAGTTTTTTTTTGTTCGACATCGATCAATACATATTGATCAAAAGAGAAAAAGAATAAATGTTACCTTCAATCAGACTCTTCAACAACAAGTGAGAAATAGATGTCTAGCCTACATTGCGTCATTTTAAATGATGTTCGATTTTCTACAAAGATGTTTACAATTCACATAATTATGTCTTTCAAGTTTTTCGAAACAAAATGATCTCTAATTTTTGAAAGTGATCAAGGATTAAGTTTTTTAAAATCAATATATTTGTATTTTCAGTCGTTGTATTTTATTTGTCACACATAGAGAAAAAAAAGAGTGCTCGACAAAAAGAAAGAAACACATCCGTAGTACACGAAAAAAAAACCCGTTGGCCATATAAATAAATCGTTTTTATTTGGCGAATACAAAGTGATATCGTTGTTGTTATTTAAAATTTGAATGATGATGATGGCTTCAATGGAATTAATTATTTCATATTATAACGAATATATTCTTTTGTTTTTTTTTGATCGGCACTTGTTCATCAAATAAAAAATAGATGTGTCTATATGTGTGTGTTTTGTGTGATAAAAAAAGAGAGATAAAGAAAAAGAGAAGAAAAATTCTTGGTGGTTTTAAAGGAATAAAATTTGTGCGAATTTGCAAGAAAAATGTTTCCGTAATGTTCGAATGAATAAAAATAATCATAGAGAACGGATAACAGCGACGATGTTTTATGATTCAAAATAAAACATAAAAATAGAGGAAGGAGAAATTTATTGTTTATAATGATCGACGCAATTTAAGGAAACCAGCAAAGCACAGAGCAGCCAGCAAAATGGTCATATTCACATAAAGACCATTTGCACTACCACCGGCTGATTTCAATGCACGATAAACATCGCCTAAAAACATTCAATAATAAAACATCAGTTTTTAAAAATAAACTCAAAGAATTTACCGAGATAGGCGGTGACTGCAATGAATGAGGCAAATAGACCAAGAAGACCGAGTGTGGCTAAACAGAGTAGACACAAGAGTAATCCGGCTAGACCACCTAGTAAACCGCGACCTCCTCTAGCTGGTGGAGGTCTATTAAATAAAAAAATTATAATATAAATTCTTGATTTGTACTAATCAAAAGAATACATACGCAACGGGATATCGTCGGCCAGGTCGTGCGGTATATCGATATCCAGATCGTCGGACAGGCACTCGAACTCGTGGCATTTTAAGAGTTCACTAAAAAAGGAAAAGATTCATATAGTATCTATATTAACTAAAACAATTATAGGAAATTTGCTCAAGGACGCTCTCAAAGTGATTCCTATGCCTACCTAAATTAGACAGAGGTGTTGTTGTTGTCTTTTTGACTTTCACTACCTGCCTGTCGATTCAAGAGCTCTCTCACTTACTCAAAAAAAAAAATAGGGAAGAGAAGAAAGAGAAAAGAAGAGAGAAGAAGAAGAATCCAAAGGGGACTTTTCTGGCCAACACAAACATGCATACATATTGATGTTGATGATCACAACAACAAGAGAGAGAGAGAGGGAGAAAAGCAGAGGAAAGAGAAGAGAGGTTTGAGTCTAATAAAAAAATATAGTTGGCCAACTATTATAAAAAAAATGACAACATTCTCAGTGTAATTACAAAAAGAGATGAGATATACACTTGAAGGTTGTAGATAGAGAGAGAGAAAGAAAGACGAATGAAAAATTGTTTCTTCTCTTCTTCTCTTTCTCCCTCCCCTCTTTTTCTCTCAGATATCACCAATGTTTGTCATACCTGTCCGTTTATGGGTATTATACGAAGCAAAAAAAAAAGAAACCAGAGAAGGAAAGGTACGTAACGAAATAAAAAGTCAGGTGGTCAATCAAGCGAAACACTCCTGACTGACTACACACGCATGTGTACTAATGACTTTTTTTTTCGTTTGTTAGTCGATGCCTATGCATGATGATGAGACCAAAATATGTTGTCGCCGTTCTGTTCTGGTCATATTTCTTCTATTTTTTTTTACGTATAAATCAGCTCTTTTCTCTCATCAGATAGCATTCGTAGCTCACTACTAATTATCATGTTTTACTAGCTATCGAAATGTTGGACATTCTCTCGGAATAATTTTCTTTTTTTATTTCCTACAATAATAATCGATGTAAGTAATAAGAAAAAAAGTAAAGGACGAGCATTTTTCTCTCTTTTTTTTGCGGCCTGATGATTTATGGTATATGATTCAGGTACAAATCGACGATGATAACTGTGAAGTCATGCGTAGCACAGCCAGCTAGAAAGAGAGAAATGATGAAGCAATGAATGCATGTTTAGCAAAAATGGTGGGTGGCTTGATCATGCCGTCGACAAAAAAGTTATATGCATCAATAGCATGACTATACGCAGTATATTTTTCACGTCTAATCGAAATGAGAGACAGAAAGGGGGAGAGAGAGAGAGAGTGAGAGCAAGAAAAAAAACAAAAACTGATATCTTTAACTAGACAATGTGATGACGACGTTCGATATACTGAGTTTAAGAAAGAGGGGGCAATTGATCAGAGGAAGAGTGATGCTAAGAGAGGGAGAGAGAGAAAAATAAATTGTTAGTTGTCTTGTGGTATCTCACTTTTTAGCGTATTGCAAGTAGGCCGTCAACGTTTCTGCCGAGAGAAGACCATCGCGCAGGTAACTTGAAAAAAACGAAGAAAAAAGGAAGAGAGAAGAGAAGAGAGAAAGCTATATTGATGAAAGAAAGTTATAGTTGAACACGTGTGGACAGTTTTTTGACCAGATAACCTTGTCATTATAGTTTCTTTTTTAGATCTCTATAGGCTAAGATGTCGGACAGCGCACGACGACCACTCCCAGCTCCACGACCATACGGTACACGGTAAGTATTCTGTTATTTAATTTTACTAAATTTATATGAAAAATAACGTTTTTTTTATCTTATTAAAATAGTGCTAGACCTGTGATGGTAGCACGTCCCATACGACCTGTTGCAACTGGTGCAGGTTCAGCTGGACTTGGCGGTGCTCTTGGTGCTATTGGTGGCACTCTTGGTTGTCTTCTTTGTTTAGCAGCTATCGGAGCATTGGGTTTATTTGCATGCCTCATAGCTATTACAGCATACGCCAGTAATTCTTTTTATTTTCAATATAAAATCAATAGTATATATATCTTAAATTAATTTAATTTAGAACAATTTCTTGATGCATATAAAAGAGTAGAAGGTATTAGTGGAGTCGGCCGAATGGACGTTGGTGTTATCCTCTTATTCGCTTCACTTTTTTATACTCTCATCTGTCGTATAAAGCGAAGCTAGACTTAAAAAACAATCGATTAATTTCTTTTTCTTGCAATTTTTTTTCCTTTTTTTATTGAACAATATTATTCTTTTTTTTAATTCCTCTCTTGGATCAATTCGAAACACATATACCTGTTCGGAAAAATGAAAACATTCTTTTTTGCATGACACTATATCATCAACAACAATAATAGCAACAATAATAATAATAAAAACAATAACAACAACAACAACGACGATGACGACTGACGACAATAACCAACACACTATGTTTTTTTTTTCGTTCAACACCACTATATTTTCTTTACTTTTTTTTTTAAAATAAAAATTTATTTATTCTTGTGCGTGCATATCAATGTTTCTTGTTTATCTGAATAAAGTCGTTTACTTTCTCATTCATTCATTCATTCATTTCATCATATCAAAAATTATTCAATGTCATTGAAAATATCTATATATATTCTGTATTCAATGAATATATGCGACGAGCAAGAAAAAAAAAAAAGAAAATTATGTATTTGATATAATAAAAAGCATTCAGGTGTGACTGACTATATGCAACAAGTGACTTGAATAAGCGTATATGTATGTATGTATGAAGGCTACACTTTTTATACCGTGTTATTTGTACGAACAAAAAAAACGGATGTGTTTACCTTCATATGAATTTGTGAAAATTGACAGAAACAAAATATGAAAACTAAAATAAAAAAATATTTGTTGTTGTTGTGTATTTTATGACTTTTAATAATTAATTAACCATGAATAAATTTCTTTTTTTCTCATAGTTTTCATAATAGACAATGACTTCATTGTAATTACTAATAAATTAAATTAAACAGACTCCTCTGTTAAACGAATCATTGACGCAAACGAAACAAGATCATTTCGTTTAGATAAAACTATTTTATTCATATCTCAGATAATTTTATGCAGATTACGACTAACTGGAATAATTAATTTTAAATTGAATAACAATTTTTAATAGAATATAATTAACCATGCATCATAACAAACAAAACAAAAATTTTTTATATTGATAAATAATTACAAATAAATTGAAAATAGGAATTAGATATTGACTATTATTTTTTCTTTATTAATTGTAATTTTTAGTTTTATATAGATATATTGATCTAAGCAAGCATTAAAGAATTTCATATCATATAACATTTGGAATCTTTCAATAACATGAGTCAAATAGTATTTAAAAAGCTATCGAGATCTGAGATTATTATATTAAATAAAAATGTAAAAATATGTCTAATCCGATCAAAAAAATACAGTAAAATTTTCTTTGTATGAATACAATACAAATCATGCTTGTTTTTCTCTTGAATTAATCATACAAGGTTCTCTCTTTTTTTCTATTACATATTCTTTAACAAAATTGATCAGCTTTTGTTTTCGAAGTATATTTATACTCTTCGGCATTGAAATGAAATGTATTTTTAATAGTTGCTATTGATGATACTAATTTTGTTGTTTTGAATTTCGTACTTGTTGTAAATAGTTTTCAATGAACGGTCTTATTTGAAACAAGGAATACTACATTGAGTTTTGTTGAAATATATGTGCAATGATAAGACTATAATTGTTCTTGTTACACATAGATCAAATTTAATTGATATTAATTCAATAAATGTCATCTTTATATATAAATGTATATTATATACAATCAAAAAACAGGAGGAACAATTTTTTGAATGTTTGTTTTAGATTCTTGGATTATAAAACAACTGACAATACAAGAAGACAAAACACTGTCATGTCGATAGATGTATACCTAAAATAAAACAAAGAAAAATTAAAATTTATTATTATCATTTTTTTCTTCTTATCGAAAAATTTCTTTCTTTTAATTCTATTACTTAAGAAACTAAATTTTAGTGTAGATACCTTGTCGTAACGAATACCATATAAACTGTACGATGAGTATATATTTCTTTCTATAGTATACAAATATTCTTTTGTTTTTTCTTTCGAATGTAGGAAAAGTATTTAGTAATTGATAATGATTTGTTCAATAACATTTGATTTCTCTTACTTATTTTCCTAGCGTCTTGATGAAAAATCACGTTTATTATTTGTATTTAAATGTCTTGTTGTAGTTTTTTGTTGTAATTCTGTTGATATATGTGTAAATTCACGACGTAAAAGATCATATTCAAGTTTTAATTGATCATAACGTCGACGTTCATCATCTAATTCTCTTCTTAATTTCCACATATTTTCATCAAAATGATGTTTACTCATCATAGCATGTTCACGTAAACGACGATTTTCTTCTTCTAAATGTCTTAAAGTAAATTCATCTGTCGTACGAGTTAAACGTTTTATAGGTTGAACTTGTAGTGGCGGCGGCGGCGGCGGCGGTGATGGTGGTGGCGGTGATGGTGATTCACGTCTTATACGTTTATAACTTTGATTATTATTATTATTTATTGAAATTGAACGAGACGAACGTGAACTTGGTGAACGTGATAATGAATGTCGACGATTACGTGTCATATCTTCTGCTTTTTCAATTTCTAATTCCATATTATCCATATAATGTGGTTTATCTTGAATAATTTTATCAATAATATCTTCATCATCAAATGCCACAAATGCATAACCAAAATGTGTAAATGTATTATTACGTTTACCTTTTGGTATTGTACATGATATAACTTTACCATATTTATCAAAATAATTCGCTAAACGATTTTCACTTAATTGTTGAACGGCACCACGAATAAAAATACGTTTAACAGATTTTTGTAATTCATATACTGGTAAACAACGTTGACATTGTAATTCATTTCCATCGATTAAATGTGGACGTTTACTCATAAATAGATCAACACTTGTACGATCAGTAAACTCAATAAAACCTTCATTATCATTTTCTGTTAAATAACAATCAACTATTGAACCATATCGTGATGCATATTGTTGTAATTGTTTAGCTGTAATACGTTTAGATAGATTACGTACAAGTATTTGACTTTTTAATGATGATGATGAAGACATCTGAAAAAATAGTCAATGTCATATACAAACAAAGCAAATATAGAGTTATATCTAGTCACTGGAAAAGAAAAGAAAATCCACATAAGCATAAATAAAGAACGTGTAATTGTTCTCTCATCGAAAAGAAAAAAAATGTACATAGATATTTAGAAAACGATAATAAACAAATTAATATCACCAAGGAAAAAAAAGGCACAAATGAAAGACACAAAAGTGGACAAACAACAATATGCAAGTATAATTGAATATTTCGTTGAAATTTGAATCACTGTATTTAAAGCCTGAAAAATAAAATAGATTTATTCTTTTGACTTACATACTTTTTGATTATATATTTACATGCGCATCGAGTTCTTTAGTACGGAAAATCATAGAATAATTACTTTATTCATACAGGCGTAATAATATTTCTCAAGACAAGAATTTCTCTCTAGTATTCTTAATCTATCTATATCCAATAGATTGATTATAAGTCCTACAAACTTTAGTAACACATCGTTTTATATTGTCTGACAGATGATAATAATTTGAAATGTAAGCCTGAAGTAACAGCTGAGAAAATTTGTTTGATATATTGGATACCTTGTAAAGATCATCTAGCTACTCTTCTCTCAATTATATTAATGATTGATTATGCAATCTATAGATATCTCATAATTATAAATCTTAATAATGATTAATCGATACTGATATGAGAAATATTATTAATTTCTTACTTCTTTCTAACATCATCTATAGTTGATTTAGGTTTATTAATAATTAAATTTGTATTAGCTATTGGAGTTTTTGGTCCAATAGGATCTTTATCACCTTGAATAGTACTAAATAGAATAGTATTAATATTTAACAAATATTCATCAAATATTTAACCTATTATCTTTTAATTTCATATAAGCTTTGTAAAGTTCTTCATATTTTCTTTTTGTTTGATTATGTACTTCTTCACGTTTTTTTAAATGAATTTGTTGTTGTTCATTATCATGAACACTTTGTCGTAGAAGATCACTAATTAACAAAAAGAAAAATTTTATTTTATTTTTCTGTTTAATATTAATAAGAGAGAAAAAAAACGATTCCTTATATTTACTCGATATCTTTATTTTCTTGTTTTAATTGTTCGATTTGTTTATCTTTATTTGTTATTTCATCCAAACTTTGTTGAAGTAAATATTGATAATGTTTAACTTGATGATGAAAATCATGTTGTTGTTTTAATAAATATTCATTTAATTGTTGTTTTTCAAATTCAAATAATTGTATACGTTCTTGAAATTGACTTTGAAGACGTATTTGTTCATTTAATAATTGTTCTTTTTCATGTTCAAATCTAGATGTTAATATCGATAGTGTTGATTCGTTTGGATCAGAATATTTCATACGTTTGTTTGACTCATTATCATCTACTGTTGTTGTTGTTGTTGCTGTATAAGGTTCAATAATTAATGATCGACCATTAAGAAAATGTCGAGATTCTTTTAAAACACGTTCACAACTTATTCGATCATCAAATGTTACTGTAGCAGAACCTTGAGATGGATTTGGTAAACACATACGTACATGCCCATATTGTGAAAAATATCGTACAAGATTAGGTTCTTCTAATTGTTCAAATGTACCACGAATTGTTAAACGAGTATTATCCGTTGAATTTATTGTTGGACGTTGATTTGAAGGAAAAGTTCGATTTAATGTAACTTTCCATGTTGCATTAACAACTCCATTTGAATCAATCCGATGTGGTGATGTGCGAATAAATTCTTCAGCATTATGTTTCTCAGCAAATGTTACAATACATTGATTACATTTTATATAACAATTAAGTATTTTTCCAAAATTTTGACAAAAATTTTTAACTGTATCACTTGTTGTACGATTATCAAGACCATCAATAACAACAGTAGACATTATTTAATTATCTAAATATCTTAGAAATATATTTAATGGAAATATGATGAATGCAAAAGTAACGAAGGGGTATGGATGTGAGTGAGTATGGGTGGGTGTGAGTGGGTCTGGGTGTGAGTATGGGTATAAAATAGGGGGATACCCACATCTAAACTCGCATTTTATACGTCAACATTTTACCTGTCGACATTTGTCTACCAAATCCATAAATATCGGTTTGACGATTACTGATCGTCACCGTTACATTTCTAAAAATCATAACTACAACTGATAATTTCTCATCGAACGGTAATTACGATGTCTGTAAATTTATAATAAATATCTAAAGAAAAAGAAAACAAAGGAAATTTAATTTCAAGATGTTTCTTTTACTGAAAACAAAACATTATTTCAATAGACATACACGATTATCAAAACAAAACTTAACGATAAATGTATCAAAAAATAAACATTAATTTACATCGATCACATGAAAGCGTATTTTACAGAACGAAAAAAACGAAAAAGTAACGTCGATTTATTTTTAATTAATCAAAAGTTTCTTTTTAATGAAGAAAGGAAATGTTCAATATCTTGTTGTTGATCTTGAAATAACGATTCGGATTGATTATATTTATCAGTTAATGCTTGTAATTGATTTTCAAGTGTTGTTATTTGATTTTTTAAACGTTGTATTTCATTTATAGATTGTGTTAATGTATCATTAGTTGTTTGAATTATACTTTCAAATTCGACAATTTTTTTATTTGATTCTTCAAGACTTTTTTTATGTTCTTCTTCACGTAATTTATATTTATTTGTTAAACATTTTGCTATATCATGAGTTTTATCTAATGATTCCATTAAATCAGATTTATCCGATTCAATTTGTTTCACTCTTGTTGTATGTTGATTAAGTGCTATTGTTAATAGAGTTTTATCACTTTTTAAATGTTCATTTTCTTCATGCATATCACGAGTTAATTTTGTTAAACTTTCAAGATGAGACTTTATTGATGAATAAGTATTTTCAGATGATTTCGAACGTTTTGGATTAATTTTTGGTTCACAATCATATTCACGTTTAATTGAAATATTATTAGACGCAAGTTTAATACTATATCTAATAAGAAAATATAAGTTAGGAATCTTGATATCGTACAGATTTGTTACTATCTATTTATTTCCCTTTGGGGAAAAAACACATCTGTTCCAGCTGGAATTGATAGAATATTCTGATACACTGAGAAAGACTAATTCTCTCCTGATCATCGGAAAACATTCATCTTTAAATGAATTCTATTGATTTAAATTCTTACTTTTTATGATTTTGTTTGAGAATACGATCCACTACATCTTTATCATTATAAGTAACTTGTGCACCAGTTTTAATTATTTGCCCAATATTATTCGTTATTTCATTAAATTTTATAGTTATTGGTTTACTATTTAAGTATTGAATTAACTCTTCTTCATCTGTTATCTGACCTTCGATATTTAATGTATAAATTGTTGAAGTAAAATGAGATTTTTTATGTGAAATATTTGAATTTTGTTTAGGTTTGTCATGTAATAATAGATTATTTTTATGATCAAGTTCAATATGAATTGATGTATCATCAAGATAAAGTGTTTCTTTACGAGAGTGACGACACATTTTTTCGGCTGCATAACATGAAGTAAATTTAACATAACCTGAACGTCTAAAACAAGTAAATAAGATTATTTCAATATTTTATTTCATTTAAAATTTATTTACTTGTTTAATCTATCAAATTCTGGAAAAATAGCACATTCAATTACTTTTCCAAAACGTGTACAAAAACGTTCAAAATCTTGTTCAGTTGTCTATTTAATTAAATTTTAAAAGTAAAACATAAATTATTAAAAACTTTTTCTTACCTTTGGATTTAAACGGCTTACATTTATTCTCTGTGACATATTGTTACAGTTATATCTATAATAAGAAGAAGAATAGAATCCTATTATTGAAAAATCAAATAATGTAAACGAGTAAAAGACTCCTATGTTACATCTGTCGTTTTTACTTGACTATTTTCATAGAAACTAACCTTATGGAGATGGGGAGCACACATATATGTGCTTCATGTCGTGATCAAGTGTTCCTTTTCTTAAAAAAATATCTCTTGCAACATTTGAATGTCAAAAATGTGGTATTAGTTATGGATATATACACATCGAAGTCTAGTCATTGTTTCTGGCGAAACTATTGTTTTAAACAATGGAAAAGCTGGGTTTTTTTTTCAAGAGTTAACCCGTCCCTAAAGGCATAAATATATTTATGTTGAAAGTTTGTGTACATGGTTAATTATTCTGCATAAATAGGAAAATATTAGACATATTCTACATTCTGCTAATTTATATTTGCCTTTGGTTATATTGGAATTATTCGCCTGACTATCTTGTAAACTAACCGTATGTTGCCGAAAGTGATAATGATGACCTTTTCAGCCAAGAGAAAAAAAGTAGATAGGCATATTTGTTTATATAACCTAAATAAATAGATGTGTTGGACAAGACTTTATTGATATGAATATAAATTCTAATGAATGCCAAGTTACATACGATTGTTTTTTTTGATTACCAATAGATATCATTCTATTCAATAAAGACTTTCGAAATGAATCGTTGGCATTCTTATCCTTAAAATAATCTATCTAACTTACTACAACATTTTCAAAAGATCAAAACTAATACTTACAAGAATTGATGTAACTGATTACACTCACTCATAATAATAATTTGATATACTACTATAGTTTGAATATGATACTGAACGAATAATTATTTCACACACAGTAACATATTCTTATTTTTCTAGTAGAACTTCGATGCTGAGCTTTTCATTCGTATTATAGGACAATTGTCATTAAGATTAACTAAGTCATATTGTATCCGTGAAGCGACTTTCATATAGAAAAGAACCTTATCTGAGCTAATAATAATGCAAGCTAAATCTATAATATGATCTCGTCTGGATTCACTCTTTTCCATATGATTATTATCATAATATAAAATGATAGGATTTTGACAGTTCGAATAGATTCGATAAGAATATTCTATATAATCACTATTATTTGTTTGATATAATGATTGATTAAACTTAATATTTATGTTAACAAGGTTATATAGACACACATTATAATATTATTGTTGATTGTCATTGTAATCTAGCGACATAAAGGTCAAATTGATTGATGGATTTAAACAACAGGTATAATGAATGATTGATCATTATCATCTAGTCTATATGTCATCGTTGACTTAGGTCTATGGAATTATATGATTTCTATTTATTGATAGAATAGAATTATTTAAGAAGATTTTTATCTAAAAGATTATATAATTTAATTGAATTCTATGATATTTCGTTTCCTACATTACTATCATATATTCAATACTAGTAATATGATTCAAAATGGGTAATTCATCTAACCGTTTAAATATTCTATTTCAACAATTATACTCTAATTTCAAAAGTATCAAAAAACTCACACATACCTCATGAATCACTAAACAAAAATTCTTGTATTATCATATATATTAATAATTATTTGACAAATCATATTTGAAAAAAATTAAATAGTCAAAAAAAAATTAAAATCAAGCCAATTAAAAAAATACATATAATTGACAAACATGTAGCCATTATCATATAGAAACCTCTAAAAAATCTAGAATAGATGTCATTTTAGAATGAAGATGATTATTCTTTTCTATTCGATTATATGATGTCAACTCAGAAGAGAATATTGTTGTTTGAAAAACGAGAGAACTTATAAAACAAAATATTGTTTACTTGAAAGATCTATATGATTCCTTTCAAAAATTATTTGTTAATTTAATCCTTTAAGATATATATATTCATTTGTTTTTAGATTTTCGAAAATTCTCGTAATGTCTTCAGCTAGTCTTGAAGACAAATTCAATGCAGCTGTTAAAGCTATTCAACATTTACCTAATGATGGTAAGATATTTTTTATAAGAAATATTAAATATAATCTCGATTATTTAATCAGGTACTTTTCAACCATCAAATGAAATGAAATTAACGTTCTATGGTCTTTATAAACAAGCAACAGCAGGACCATGTAAAGAAGCACGACCATCTCTATTTAATTATATTAATCGAGCAAAATGGTAAAATGAATGCATATAATTTTATCTTTATAGTTATGTATTGTTTTAGGGATGCGTGGGATAAATGTCGACCGATGAGTAAAGAATCAGCTATGTTAGCTTATATTGATGAAATTCGAAAAGTAAATTTTAGAAAAAAGGAGAAATGTTTTTGTGATAAGTTAATTTTAGATTCTTGAAACTATGCCACAAACAAATGAAGTATTAGATTTTACACAATTAATTGGACCATTTTATGAATTTGTTGATGATCAATCAGCAGGGAATAGTTCGATTTCAACTATAAAAAAGAAAACACATCATACAAATATGAACAGTAAAAAATCAAATTCATTAGAACCTTATGTTAATGGAATTAGTGAAGGTAAAATAATATCTAAAGAATTTGTTTTTAAAACTATATTCTAATTATAGATAATCATGATGAACGTCCACTTATTCATACTAATGGTCCAATACAAACACTAGTTTCCGCTGGAAATGGTCCAGCACCTTCTTCATCTCCTTCATCTTCTTCCACATCATCAATATCTTCTTCAGGTAATTTAAAATCTGTTTCTTACTTATTAACCTATTTTAATATTGGATAGATGTTGATGAATTTTATGATGATCCACCTGATCGATTTCCGCTTACTCATGGTTTATCAAATGATGAAATATCGTCAAATAATAATAATATTCAAGTAAATATTTTCGTAATTAACGAAATAAAATAAATTGTTTTTAGAAAACCGAATCTCTATCAACAACTACAAACATTCCACATGAACAAACATCAGATAGTACAATCAAACATCATCCACATGTATATGGCGGTCAAGATGGAACAAATGCTCCTCTACATCATTCAAATAGAGGAGGTACGAAAAGAAAATAGAAGATAATTCATATTTCATTGATTATATTAGGCAATCATTCAAATCAAAATCATAGACCATCCTCACATCATCATCATCATGATCTATCCGATGGTGCTCGATATTCACCATCTTCGATGATTTCCGGTGGTGGTAATGGACGACATCCGAATAATAATTATAATAAAGAAACACAACGTGCTATATTAACAGCATTGACAAAACTTCAACGAGATGTTAATAATATTTTAGAACGACTTAATCAATTAGAAACATCAACACATTTTCTTCAACAGGTATTTATGAAAATCATTGAATATCATTTAAATATTTTATTTAGAGAGAACTATCAACACAATTACATCGCTCTTCTGAACCAAAAGTAAATTTAATCTTGATTAAAAAATTTAGTATTATATTGAATCTTCCAGGCAATATCACGATGGTTTCCATTATCCGGTTTACGTCGTCGAGCGATTGCATTTATTTTACTTTGGCCTTTCTTTGTCTTCTCAGTAATTCGACTTTTTCTTCGTGCACGAATAATTATACGGTAAAATTACATTACAAAAAATATCATTTTAATCTTTTACTATTTTGTAGTTTCCGACAGCCACGTCGTTGAATAATTCAAATACATTTTAAATTTGTTCGCGATTCTCTTTTGTAAAAAAAATTTTTTTTTCTGAAGAAAAACACGTGCAATACGTAGAATTCGCAGCTTTTGTGTGTATGTGTGTTTATAGAAGATGCATTTTTTTAGATAATGACATCAATAACAAGTGGTAGTGATAGTGAACATTTAGGTATACCAAAAGCTGTATTTGTTGAAGATGTGGATAGTTTTATGCAACAACCAGAAAATGATTCTGCTGATACAGTTATTAAAAGGTAATTATTTCAATGGTGTTGTCAAGAAATCCGGAAAAAGAAAAATCTGAAGAGTGAGAATCAAGGAAACATTTATTCGTAGAGTAATAGTTATAGAAGACATAACAAGTAGAAATAATGAAGATGTGAGAGACAATTTGATAAGAAGTTTATTTCTTCGAAACTACCAAAGGAGAGAGTCCGTCGAGAAGTTCGACGCGATCGATGTCGCCGTTCCAGAAGCGAGTACCTAGATTATCGGTATGTTTCCGCCTGGTCAATGTCTTCAGCGCTTTTTTCTGTTCTGCTCCCGCTTTAAGCTTGAGAGATTATTGGCGAAAGATGACTTCTACGGCTTGCAAGCAAGCGAGGTTGTGAGTGTGGGTGGGTCTGGATCTGGGTCTGGGTGGATCTTCCTGTCTCACACCCACACCCTTTTCCGGATTTTATTTCTCCGGATTTTTTGACATATTCATTTCAATTATTATTACATAGACTTGATGATTTAAATAATAAATATCGTTTTATGGAAATGAATTTATTACAAAAGAAAAAACGTTTACAAGGAAAATTACCTGATATACAAGTTTGTTTAGGTATATTATCTTTCTATTTCTATTTAAATGTACATATTGGTATATATGTATATAGATATGGTTGAACAACTTCGTAAATATCGTGAGAAAGATACGAATATGGAAACAAATTTTCTTTTAGCTCATAATTTATATGGAAAAGCAACAATTCCACCAACAGATAAGGTTTGTCTATGGTTAGGTGCTAATGTTATGCTTGAATATACATTGGATGAAGCAGAAGAATTATTAAATGGTAATCAAAAAACAGCACAATCAACACTTCAAAAAGTCGATGAAGATTTGGATTTTTTAAGGTAATAAAAATGAAAATAATTTATTCAGATTATTTTATTTATATAAATAGAGATCAAATTACAATAACTGAAGTAAATATGGCTCGTTTGCATAATTGGGCTGTTAAAAAAAAACAACAAAATAAGAAATAATCTTAATCACCGAGTGTTTTTTATTTTTATTATTCGCTATGCTTTGTTATTGTTGATTTTTTTTTAATACATATATAAATGCCTTTTTAACTCGTTCTCTATATATTCACAGAATCTAAACTAAAGAAAACAAACAACAACAGTTCTATAATTAATTCAATTTCTACACTAACCCTTGACTATGATCAAGTATCTAGAAATTGTTTTTATTATTTTATAATTATCTTACTTACTGCTCTGACGTTGTCGTCATGAAAAATTTCCAATTAATACGAAAATAGTACTTCCGTTATTAGTAATTAAGACCGAGTGAAATGAAAAAAATATACATAAAGGTGCATATCTATGAGTCATTTTTATTCTCACAAGGAAAAAACCATCTATGTCTGATATATTGCGTCATAAATGTGTTTTTTTACACCAATTCCCTATAAAAAAATAGCATTTCATGGCAATATAATTGCACATAGTCAAACGAAAATCTAGTATTTTGGAACAAGAAGTGAGTAGATATTTTAATAGCAAAAAAATGTCTTTTACAACTCTACAATAATAATTTAGGTGTATATAATGCATAGATTTAAAAGAATGGTCGCACGTATAACCACCCATAGAAAAAAAAATAAACAAATTTATTTTGATTCAACAAGTACTTCCGTTATAGCATCTGTTTGTACAGCAGCATTGCCTGCACGTAGTACTGTACGATCCCTTGGACATTCAAATACTTCCATATTTCAAAATTATCAATTAGTATGGTTAGATTCTCATATTGATGAACATAATGATTCGAATTGTCAGAATACAATTACAATCTTACGACGTATTGTTAATTATGTAACTACATTTAATGAAGTCGATGAATGTATGAATTATATTGGTAAAATGAAAGATGAAAAAATTATTTTGATTATATCTGGAACACTTGGTCAAAATTTCATACCTATAATTCATGATACATCTCAGATTATATCGATTTTTATATTTTGTAACAATAAATTAGTACATGAATTATGGGCATATTCATGGTCAAAAATTAAAGGTGTTTTTGAAGAAATTTCAAATCTTTATGAAGCAATTAAACAAGCGGCTGAAGAATGTGATCGAAATACTATTTCAATGAGTTTTATTAATACAAATGATGAAACATCAGTTGAAAATCTAGATAAATCTTTTATATATATGCAAATCTTAAAGGAAATCATATTGGAAATTGACTTTAAAGATCAAGATATAAAAGATTTTACTACTTATTATCGTAAACATATTGTTGGTAATGTTGCTGAACAAGCGATTATTGATAAACTTGAACGAGAATACCATCGTTATGAACCTATTTGGTGGTGTACAAATGAATATTTTCTTTATTCAATGCTCAATCGAGCATTACGTACGATGCAAATAGAAACAATTATTAGAATAAGTTTCTTTATACGTGATCTTCATAAATATATTGATCAAGTTCATTCTGAAGAAATTCATAATTCATCGTTATTAACTGTATATCATGGCCAAGGTATATTACAGAAAGACTTTGATCAATTGAAGAAAATGCAAGATGGATTATTATCATTTCATAATTTTTTATTTACTAGTAAAAATCGTGATTCACCTTTGAATTTTGCACGCCAGACGATTATAAACTCTGATTTGATAGGTATATTATTTGTTATGACAATTGATCGTTCTCTAACTTCCACACCTTTCGTTAATATTCGTGATGACTTACCTAAAGGAGAAGTTCTCCTATCTATACATTCCATTTTCCATATTGGTCAGATTCAACAAATTAGTATTAATAATAATCGTCTTTGGCAAGTGGAATTAACTTTAGCGAATAAAAATGATTTAAAACTTGATGTATTAAATAAACGTATCTTAGACGAAACAATATCTTCTAGAAAAGGATGGTGTCGATTGAGTGAATTATTAATTAAACAAAATCAATTGACTAAAGCTCAACAAGTATGTGATATAGCAATGACTCGTACAGATGATGAAAATGAAAAAGCATTTTTCTATTATCAACTTGGTTTGATTAAATTTCATCAAGAAGAATATAAAGAAGCTAATTTATTTTATAATTCTTCACTTAGAATTCATGAAAAAAATCTTAATTCTGGAAGTATTGATGCAGCTGTATGTTACATGGGAATTGGTTCAATTCACGAGAAAATGGAAATATATTGGAAAGCACTTTCATTTTTTGAAATAGCATTTGGAATCTACGAGAAAATTCTCCCGACAAATGATTCACTTGTGACTAATTGTATCAATAATATTGGCAGAATATGTTATTTAATGAAGCGATATTCGAAATCAATTTTTTATTATAAAAAAGTACTTAAAATTTATCAAAATAGTGCAACTTCAAATCAATCTGATGTGGCTATTGCTTATAAAAATATAGGTTTGGTATATGTTAAACGAAATGAGCATTCAAATGCAATTACATTTTTTGAGAAAACACTTGCAATTTATAAGAAGATTCTTCCTTCAAATCATCTTGATATAGCCGAAATATATCAAACTATTGGCTCTGTATATGACAATTTGTGTGAATATTCAACTGCGCTTTCATATTACGAAAAAGCATTGAAAATTTATGAAGAAACTCTTTCTTCAACTCATCCTAACTTAGCAATATCTCATAAAAGCATAGGCTTGATATATTTTCAAAGAAGTGATTATTTAAATGCACTTTCATATTACGAAAAAGCACATGATATATATGAACAAATACTTCCTTCGAATCATCCTGATTTAGCAGCTTCTTATATGCGTCATGGATCTGTCTATGAAAATACAAATAATTTTACAAAAGCACTTTCATATTATAAAAAAGCATTTGAAATTTATCAAAATAATTATCCTATAAATTATCATGATTTGGCTAATGTTTACAATAAAATTAGTTCAGTATATTTTCAAATGGGTAAATATTCACTAGCACTTTCATTTTATGAATGTGCTCTTGATATTGAACAAGAATTATCCAATGGAAATCAGTCTTCTATTGAACAATGGGATGACAATCTCGATATAATACAAGACGATTGTGAATAATATTTCAACACAATATCTCCTGTACTTCTTAGTCTAGACTATTATTCTAATACAATCACTAAAAATCTATCAGATAATAATTGTTATTTCTAAATAAAAATTAAAATACTTTGTTTTGATTCAGATTATAACTAGATGATATTTGAGTTTCAATAGACTACAAAATGCGATGCAAAGCTCGATATCAAAATAATGATTTCAAGATTATCAGATATTTCTAAATATTCCCGATTGCTTTAGGATCGAGTTAAATTTATATAGGGGTAAGTCGGTGTGGGTGGTAGGTGAATACAGTATCCATAGCTACATCCACACCCTCACACACTTACTTTTGACGAAGATGCTCCAGTATATGATGATTTTATTCAATATCTATCAAATAGTTCTATTCATTTATCACAAATAACTAAAATGACATTTAATAAACAGAATATGTCATGTGATATTATAATTAAAATGTTACGATTAACACCGAATTGTTAAAAATTAAAACTTGAGAGTTTATCTTCCATAGAATCTAATGAAGATTTTCAATGTATACCAAAGAAAAACAAGGTTCAAGATATAACAATAAAATTATGTACAGTTGAAGATATTCAATTCTTAATAAAAATTTGTTGTCTATTAGAATATCTTCATATAAATGTATCTGACAAGGATTCTCAATCAATTATTAGTTATTTATTAGATAGTGAGGAAAAGAATCCTTATTTACATTTATTAAATATTCAAAGTTCAAGTGATCTATGAGATGTGAAAATTATTAATTCCACAACAGCTATTCGACAATCAGATGAAGTTTCTTATGATATGATCGACATGATATTCATAAAAAATCTTTAAATCATAAAATTTGAAAAAAAGATTTCTTTTATAGATTGAAACCAGAGTATTCAATAATATGATACAATTGTTGTCATATTTTGCCCACCGTGCAATGTAGTGCTTTTTATTATTTTTCTCGAAAATCTTCTACAAAATCAGAAAATTTGTTCAATAAATCTTTTGTCGTAGTTTCATTTTTATTAAAGCAACTCTATAATTTTTAACTGTGCTTCGATGTTCATTATTTTATTTTTTGAATTAATTGAGGATGAGAGTGTGAGATTCATGTGTAAATATGGTATCGAAGCAGATAAAATTTTGGGAAAACGCATATAAACTACCAAAAGAGTCATTTTTTAAGGATTTTCACGCGTGTTGAAAAATATGGGAGTATAGACACTATTAATCTTGATTCTCTTATTGTAAAAGCGGTTAAACCTTTTATAACAGTCATATTTAGAGAAATAAACACTCAAATATATAATTTTTATATCTTGTTAGCGCTCAGCTTTTGAAGTGTACGATGTTCAAACTAGATAGCGTGAACACATTCATCATATTTTATCATATATGAAATAAATCCGCGTTCACCTTTAGAATATCAATTCGTAGGAAGTTTTGAAGATGAGTGATAGTACATGTCGCAGATATTTCGATGTGAGAAATGTAATGATAATTGTAAACCATCATTCTAAATCTTTACTTCGCTCTCACTCTCAAGATGATTTGCATATCTCCCGTCTTTATCACTTGTGGGAAAATAATTAAATTATAATTTATTTGAAATAATTAGTACTTAATTAACTATAGATAGTTTAAGAACAAAATACATTTTTTTACCACCATAAGCACAATTCAGACTGTCGATGTTCAATATTATAATTATCAAGTAATTTTTTATTATCAATTATTGTCTTCAATTTTTTGATCATCGCATCATCACCATCAAACGTCAGTGAAAAAAGATGACTGTTATTAATTCTGTTTGACAACAACGTTCGTACAATCGATATGAGATCATTCTCTCGGTTCAGAATTCGAAGATGTTCCATTCGAGGAAAAAGGTTCTTGATTAGTTGAACAGTGGCAAGTGCAAGTTCACCAGTTATTTGTACAGTTCGCACATTATTATTGCATACGAAGTCAAGTGTATTAGTTTGTTGATTTGACAATACTTCCATTTCAGATGATGGCCGTACGTCAAGAATCAATTTTTGAACATTAGGCATACGATTAAGAAGTTTAACAAAGTTGTTCAACAATTGATTATTAAATGAAATCCTCAAATAAGTAATATTTGTCAAAATTATAATATGACTTAGATTATCAATGAATGAGTCAATATTGATCGTATAATAATTATCTCTAAGTTCTAATTCAGTTACACGAGGAAACTGAAAAGGAAAATTGGCAACAATATTTCGATTTTTCATACTAATGCGTGGCCCAAAAAATAAATTGAAGACTGGATCTTGGTACGAACATATGTTATCATCTAAAAATTCATCAATTTGACAGCAGTATCGCCTAAAAGAAAAGAATCATTATTTCACAACAATAAATATATTTTCTTTCATTGATTATACCGGCGCATTTGCGTTGAATAGAATGCTAAACGTACTTCTTGAGAAAACTGATGATAATGGCAATGGCTATGGGCAAAAAACCATTGCCGTTCGATCCAAAATGGCGAAGAAAATTCATCAAGTAATGTTCGACAGCGATTATTTTCATCAGCATCTTTAATTAATGGGCCATGGTAATCAAAGAGAAACGTACGTAAACGTGGCATATGACGTAACATTAATTGTTGCCATTGATAAGCATTTGATAGAGCAGTTTGATGAACAATTGAAATGCGTAAGAATTCGAGTTCAGAACCAACGATTGCGATGAATGATGCGAGTTCATCAAATGATAAACCCCAAGAACATAGAGAAATACTAGTTAGATTGCGTGGCAGTATAAATTGTACTAGTGGTGTGTAACTATCACCCCATATATGCTCAACTGACAAACGACGAAGTCGAGGTGTATATGATAGAAGATTGTAAATTTTTGAAAGACGAGGTAGACCATCAAATGCAAGATACTCAAGAGTCATACTTCGTTGATTGTCGTTCGTAGCCAGGGGAAATGGAACTGTAATAGTCCAGCTCGAACACAAAATGTTGGCATATTGTAAAACAGGTAGACGAAGTATTAATTGAAAAACAATAAATAGTTCGCAACACTCGAAAAAAAAAGATTTTGAGAGAGAAGAGTCGTGGTAATTGGGCTAAACTAATAAGAATAGAAATATCATGATCTACGTTAAGATCCTTGAGTATCAATGATTCAAGACGATTAAATGATGTATCAATAGGAAATGATGCCAAGAACTTTTTGATAAAAAATGACTCTGATAATTGTAATGAAATAATTTGATTCATATATGGACGGATAATATTGATCGAACGTTTGTTAAAATCCGATTTAGACATAAATGAAATATTTAATTTGAGGAAGAAATCAGGACTAGTAATGAGTTGTTGGATACGGTTATTAAGATTAGAAAAAGCGTCAAATATATGATAACCATTAAGAAAATCGAAAGTATCGAGTAAAAGTTCATTTGAAAGATCTTCAAAATGCGTTGCTGATCTATGATTATAAGAAAGAAAATTAAATATTACAAAATGCTCATATTACTAGAAGAGAATATAATTTATTTTTTTAAACTTACCTTTTCATCTTCACTTTTAGCTATTCAACTAAATGATTATTTTGAATTACGATGATGAATTTATAATATTATGCTGAAAGAAAAGCATTTTTCTAGACGACTGAAGCAGGCAACACTATGGACGAGAAAATTAATCTGTACGCTGCTGCAAGATGTTAGTTCAAAGTTCAATAATATGAACACAGAAATGTTTTTGATCGGTCAGTAAATATGTAAATAAGCGGAGCTTGTGAGTGGATAAGAAATGAGTGAATACATGTACATCTACAATCCACATATACTTTTTTATTTTAAAATTAACATTTTGTTTTAAACAAACATTTAATACAATCAAAAAGCAGATTAGGACCATAGAAAAAATATTTCCAATCAACTCTATATATATTTGAAGTCCAAAACATTTCTTCATACCACTCACCACGCGACGGTGAATCATTTCAAGGCACTTCACCCTTCCATGTTTTTCTTAAAACCAAAAAGCTACCACGTATCCTCCATACATATTTCTGGTTTGAATATTTCTAGTGATACATCGTTGATGAAGATTCCTATGGTATGATAATTTTGAATATTTTAGAAACGGCAACTAAGAAATTAGTTCTGAGATTAGATGACAATTTAATTGTTTTTTTTTTCGATGACATGAGCAGAAAGATGAGAGAGACAAGGCATAAGAAACGAATCTTTCCAGTAATAATAGGAAAGTTCCAGTTGCGTACACCGTGAATCGATGAAAAATAATGGAATCTGATAGACGAAGAGAAATGATTCGATATTGTAGAACATCTTCCCTCATAAAAGGAAAATGCAATATATTTCACATTTATCTAGATATTTTCATATCTCGTAAAAAATTTCATTTGGAAGATCTTCAAAGCAAGTGTCGAACAATCTAATTAAGATATCAACATTATAATTACAGATAATAGACTATTTATATTAGCTTTGTGTTATTTTTTTTATTCTTAAAAGAAGTTTTTTTTAGAAGAAAAACACTACATTTTATATAGTTTCTTACTTTTCCCTTTAGGACCGCTGCAATAAGTAATATGTTGATGCTTTTGATCCATTTTCGATAACGAAAAAATATTCACATATAAATATGAAAGAAATAGAGCATTTAGATAAATCAAAAAGATACCAATATTGATATATCTTTAAAATGAATAAAATCTATGAAAAAAAAGGTTGTTTTATGTGTCATCTGTTTCCATGCTAAGCGTAAGTCTGAAGTAAATAAATTAACTACAATCTTTTGTGATAGACAAATTTTCTTTATAAAACAAACTTTTCGGCATTCATATATTTATTTTTACTTGTCAGTTTCACAGATGATTGTTGGTCTTCAAAAAAAGCATCTTATATAGATGAGAAAAATCTATTCAAAGTATTTCAATATCATCCAATTCTGACAATAAAAAGCTAAAATTATTCCGCAAGTCTTCTTCATTTTGAATATTGAATTATAATACTTCTATTTATCTTCTTCTATCTGTCGAGCACTTTTGTAAAATTATTTTTATATGTCCAAAATATTCATCCCATAGTTCTGGGATATTCTGAGGAACTGAGTAATGCAGAAATCAGGTTGATAGTGCACCTCTGAAATTTTATCTTAAGTCAAAGTTCATTTTTTAACAATCAATATGTTTTTGTTTTCTTTTAAAAGTAGCTTCTCAACATGATTATTTGAGATTTAATCAACTCTTGTAAGAAGAAGACATGGTACAACACACTTCGCAGGTTTATATTATTCTTATACTTTCAGGTTTGTACTCATTTCAATTTATTCATTATTGTCAATCAGTCTTGTCTTTATCATAATTTAATTAGGATATCAGAAATAGTGATAGAAAAACTTTATTATGATATACGGAGTCTAAAGAGTATTCTTTTTATATGTATGAAAGTATAGTGATCTAATTTTTTCCTCGATTCACGCATCTAACTCTGTTTCATGAGAAGAAATTCTGTATCATCTTATAAAATATGTATATTATATGTTGCAATCAAAAAACAAAGAAAATTATTCAATCTTTGCTGATTATAATCGAGAACACAATATTCATCTATATTATGTACTATTTTATATCGATAAAATAATCTTAACAAAAACGTTATGTACGGTTGTTATAGCAATTTTATTATTCTGTAATTGACATCATTCTTTTTCGTTTTTTTCTTCCAACATGTAATTACAAAACCATGCAAAACTAATTACAAAAAAAACATGTACTCATTCGATCGGAACAAAAAAATAACAACACATCATATAAAAAGCTACGCAGTACGCATCTCATCCACAGTGCGCAATGACAAATCAAACTTTCACCAACTTCCTTACTTTACCGGTAGAGCTTGTCTATCGAATTATGGATCATCAGTCGGGTCTCACTATCCTATGTTCCATGAGAAACGTGTGTCAACGATTCAACAGAATCGTAGACAGTTATCATAGATATCAGGTAACCTTTTTTCTATCATAAAGCTCTAGTTTTTATCTATTGACTCTAATAGAACATACATGAATAAACTCTTTGACTAAAAGTAACTCATCAACTATCTTTCTTTCCCTCATAAATTCATTTCCTCTATTATGAAATTATAGAAATAGTGTTCTGATAATCAGAAAAAAATAATTTCTTTCTTTTCTTTTCTTTTCTTTTCTTTTTAATTTCATGTAAACATTCCACGTTTCAGCCTACGTATGATGTCATAAACATACAATGTTAAGAGAAGAACGACAAAAAAAGGAACAAAACATTATTATTCTCTTTCGACGTATATCTAACCACCTTCTTTACAATACCATTTCCATAATTAAGATTAGCTTTCGAAAGAAATCAACCTTCAATCAACTAGTTTATCTTGCCATAAATAACATCCTCGATATTTTCATAAGAATTACCTCTGATAAATATTTTTTACTAGCACACATGACTGTGGGTACAGATGACAGCGGATCTGAGTGAAGAGACGACTGACTCACAACAACATCCAAATTCTCATACCCATACTATCAAAGTAGAATATTTCTTCAAGGAATACTACTTTTAAAGCAAACTTTTCCCACAACTATCTGCTCCAGAATGGATTTCATTCAAAACACACTTTCTTGCGTACGAAACTTTGAGAATGACTTGTCAGTGATATTTTTTATGCGATATTTTAGCATAAATTCATCTTCTACTTATAACGAGTCTAGCATTCTGGAATACATTGTTTGACTTTTCACTTTTGATAAATTCATATTGCGTCATGAACGGAACCGTACGATGACATCGAAATCAATATCTATCTTCACTTACATAGAACATACGTACCAATAATGCTAAATTCGATAGCTAATACGTAACTTTGACACAAAACACATATCGAGTGTGAACAACGGTCATGAAAGAAAACCGTTCACTAACTACTGACAAGGAACTATCTTACGTTATACCTACTGAATACTAACAAGCGCCGCATTATATTTTACTATGCTGTAAGCCATTTGCCGCAGTACATTGTCATTTGGGCACATATTACTACACTGCACAATTGTTTTGCGCAGAAGTAACTAGGAACTATTATTCATTAACCGAAAACTCTTCCTTATTTCACAAACACTTAGAAATTCAAGCAATTCACAGATCAAATATTTGTATCACTAGTTCACCCTTGTTACTTCTTTTCAGTCTAGATTCTCATAAAACATTACCACACACAATGCAGCTTCTAAAATGCTATAGACATTCATATTGGTATACATCGATACCATAACCAGGTCCGAACATCATTTATTTTACTGCTCTAGCCCATATAACACCGACCCACTATTATACCTCTTCATTTCTATTATAACTTTACCTGCAATTCTTCATCTAGACACTCACCACACTGGATCTCGGATATAATCAAATCGCAGATATTACAGTTCAGTATTTGGCTAATGCATTACGACACAACAAAGTAACTCTTATTCTCTC